CCTTCAACTCTGTATATAGACTTTAGATAATAAAGATGTTAAAAGGGAGTGATTTGATAGAAGTAATTTCTAGTCTCCTTCTTTTCCTTTAGATCCCTAAAGTTTGTCCAGTGCACAAGGGCAGACCTTCGAAGATCAAGTGTCAGTCTTCTGATAGAGGCAGCTTTTTCTTAGTTACGTTCAGTGGACCACTTAGCAGTTAGCATGTGAGCTTCTTGCAGGCCTTGAAGACTTTGGTTTTCAGCCTGTAGTCCAGATAAGGTGACTGTTCCTTAGCACGTCTTTGTGTAAAGCCATTAAGTGCCTTGCATCATGGCACAAATACCAGGGAAAAGGAAGTGATCTTCAGAATTGCCACCTATTTCTGGCAAATCCTATCCCTTCAGACTTCTAGCTTACATTCATTATTGTTTCCAGGCTAACTTGTATGTTATTAAAGTTATATAGTGACCTTATGATCAGGCTGGTTTGTTTCCTGCCGAGCTTATATTTGAGTAGATCACCTGGCAGACTGTCAAACTGTCCTGCTCTAAAATACTGGTTCCAAACAGTGCCTTGCAGCTGAGCTATGGAAACGTGTCAGAGTAAAATTGATGCTATTTTCAGCTGCGTTGGACAGAGACAATGGTGTAAGCCATGAGTAACTTAGAAGACTGACAAACCCAAGCCAGCTAGATCACCAGCTGGTTGTAAAAGGTGAATACAAAGGATTTTATTTTTTTGTATCTGTGCAGGTATGTGATGGGAAAGTCTCTGTCCACGTTGTCGAAGGGGATCACCGCACCCTATTGGAGGGAGATGGTGCTGAATCAATTATTGGGATCATCCACAGCTCACTGGCAGAACCACGTGTCAGTGTCAGGGAGGGTTAACTTCTGCTTGCTTACTGTCAATGGTGAAGAAAATGCCAACGACATTCCTTGTTATGAGGACCCCAAGGAACTCTTCCTGTTGAACATCTCATCTGCTCTGCTGCCAGAACTGGGAAGTCCAGCTGAACTTGATTGGTCTTTTTCTCTCTCTTTCTTGCTTATCTTTTCCTTTCCCAACTTCTGTGGGTTCTTTTTCCTCATTCCTATGCTTTGTTTTCCCCTAGCATCCCTGTCTGTGCACTGTGACTCTGTCACTGTGCATTGCTGTGAGGGTTTCCTGCCGATGGTTGCTTCCTACACCCTTGGCAGTATGAAAAACAAATTTAGGAGTAGATTTCTTGTGCTTTATATTGTTTTGTCTTAACAGTATTCCAAAGGCTATGTGATAGCACTTTGTTGATGAAGCCCAGTGAGCAGGGAGAGGAGCTGCAGCTGATTTCTGAGATACCTTTTGTCTGTGAAGAATCTGTCTGTAGTTAGGTCAGAAAGAGAACTCCATTGAGGCTTTTGTAACTATATTTTTTTTTTAATTTGATATGTTCTAAGTATTTATTGTGTCAAACCAGAGACTTCATAGTTGGTTTTAATTTATCATGGGTTATAGGAGAAAAGAAACATCCCTTTTTCAAGGGGGAAGTTTATGTTACAAGGGGAAGTTGCCCATTTGTTAAACCAAAGTGCATCTTTGGAACAGTCTTTCTTTTGTTTTTTTCCTTCTTTCTCCCACTGTTGTGCCCTGTTTAGAAAGGAAAAGGGGTAGAAGGGAGGGTTCTTGCCATTGTCCATTATTTGAGGGAGGGGCAGGAGGGAGAAGAGTGGATGGTTTGATAGATGCTACTGTATTGAACAGCCTGAACTTGGGCATGATAAAAACAGGCAAAGCTGTCCCTAGGCAGGTACTTTGTTTGTATTTGTGCAGGGTTCTGTGCTCTGCTGTATCAGAACCTTAGTAAAGCATTAAGACTTTTCCTTTACCTTATTCCCTCCCCCCCTTCCATTCTCACCACCCAACCAGACATTTGGAACTAAGGTGGAAGTAGAATTAATTCTTTGACTGAACAAATCCTCCTACCCCTGCTCCTCCCATACCTAAAGCTCAGGCAAACATACAAGCATCTACCCAAAGCCCCTGTATGCTTTATAGCACAGGGCTTGCTTATGCCTTGTGTGTTCATTTCCCTCTCAGTAACAAAACTGAAGATCCCACAAGGTAGCTAAGTCATCAGTTTGATGTTATGATTTTTAAGATCTAAGTCCTTTATAAAGGAAACTTGCATAAAATTCAATTAAAAAAGAATACTTGCCTTTGCTACACTGGATCTATCCTTCCCAAAATCAGTAAATCCTTGCTACACTTTATGATACAGAGGACACATGGGTAGCAACCAAGCACCAACTAGGAGGAGCTATTGTGCTGTAGCTCTCAGAACTGCTGTAAAACCCCACTTCTCTCCATCTTCATTCCCCAGTGAATTATCTTCTTAGTACAGGAGCATTCCAGTGACAGGAATGGGTGGCTTTTCACTGCAGGTTCTGACCTAGCGTCTTTTGCTTATACCACCCTCTGTTGATAGTGGCTGGGTTTAACTGGTTTTAGTTTTATAACATATTTCTTTTGTGAAATCTGAAATAAAACCAACATAATGTCAGCTTGAAGAGTTTTCAAAATAAATCTTATTCTTTTTTTTCTTTTTCCCCCTTTTTTTTTTTTTAAATACTTTTTGGTCTGAAGAGTGTCTTTTTCTCTTTGGCTTTCCTGGTATCAAACAGAATTGATCACTGGTTTGCTGTTTGTCTTCTTTTCTACCACTATTTCTTAATCCTGTGTTTCATCTGGAATCTCATTTCTTGGTATAAAGGAAAAACTGCTGCTGGCATATCTGATTTGGAGTCTGTAGAAATAATAACAATAATAAAGAAGACATACTATTCTGGAGCATGGCTTCTTGTTGCCATGATTTTGGTACCTTAGATACAACCAAACCACACACCCATGAGATTGAAGTAAAAACTCTGAAATTCTGATTCTGACTCCATTGTTGTGGTTTTGGACAAGTCGTTAATGCTACATTCTCAGTTGCCCTATCTGTAAAATGGGACTAATAGCAGCTACCTCAGGGTCACAAGAGCACTCGGTGGGTATGATGGCTGTGCAGCTGTTGGGAATGATGCGTAGGTGTGAGGTGGGGACAGGAGCAGGGAAGCAGGCAGCATGTGAGAGTGAGGGGCCTTACAGCTGCCAATAATCTAACACTGCAGAGTGGCTGTGTGACCTGGGCAGATGTGCATACTGTGGGGCTTGGTTCTGTCTTCTGTATCTTCTCCATGCCCATCCTAGCGTAGGGTACTCCATAAAACAAACATGGAATGGTTGGTTTTAAATTTGTAGTGAGCCTGAAAAGAGTTGAACTAATCCTAGTTGCCTTGGTTGTATTGAAAACCTAGAAGGCAAAAAAAAAAAAAAATATTCAAAAGGAGTGATTCAACAAACCAGCACAATAGTCTGTGCCAAGTGTTGAATGAGTCTGAATGTGGAGAGAGCGGGGACTTACTGCCCCAGCTGTTGAGGCAGCAGTTGCACAAGTTCTCTTGTGCGTGGTCTGATTAAGCAAAGCTTGAAGATACTGTTTTAGTAATAGAAGTTCCTCAAGGATGAGCCTATACGCTCAGTGTTGTTGTGGTGATGATCTTAATCTCAAGACTGAAAAGCACAGTCCCCCTACTCGCCCTATAAACATACAGAGCCACCTGCTGAAAGGGGGCAGCATACCTCAAATGTACCTTAATACTAAGAACGTAGAGCAGCGCACAGCTGTTCCTTCCTACCACCTTCCTCCTTGGAAAGAAGGACGTCTCTCTTGCCAAAGACAAGAGCTAAACAAGCAAGGGCCAG